CCTCCCTGTGGGAGACAAAGGGAAGGAGGTGGTAAGCAGGTCAAGTACACAGTACCCGAGGCCGTAGGACAGGAAGTGGAGGAATGAACAGGATGGTCCCAGACTGGTCAGTGTTTAGATGTTACAAAGGAAATACTGGGCAAAAGGTAATAGAGCTGTTTTCACAAGAGAGTAACTGGAGAGCATAAAGTCACAGAAACTTTGAGTTTGTCCCCTTAGAGCTGAATGTGTTGCAGACAGGTAGATGGTCACCACTGAGTGCAGTGCTATCTGCCCATCTCTCATGCTTCATCCAGCATCCCAAGCTCCAGGGAGCCCATGGTACCCAACTAAACAACAGGGAATTAGAGGGGAGAGACTTTTCTGTGAGCGCATGGGAATCCTCAACATCCTGCAGAATCCTCAGATATATTTGAAGGACACTATTGATGACTATGGCCCCGTTGCAAGCAAGCTGTGACAAAAGCCTGTAAAATCTGAATTACTACTATTGATTTTATTTCATATGAGCACAGGTAGGGCCTGAAAAAAAAATCGAGATACGGTGACATTCGTTTATGATTTGCAGGGGTTTAAAACCTGTTTATAAGTTGGCTGCTGAGAGGTGAGCAAGCTGCTTCCTTAGCTCAACTATCATGAACAGGAGCTGCTCCTACCACTGTGAACTTGGCCGTGGAGAAGAAAATAAACAGCAAGCCCTTGTGTCTATATAAGGCTTTGAACCAGTGATGTGGGTATTATCATCATCCAAATTTCCCCTCATAGCAATAAATTAGTGCACAGTGTTTGTGGTAAGAGAGTCTGGGACAGTGGTTCTCAATCTGTGGGTCACAGCCCCTTGGGGGTGTAGAACGATCCTTTCACAGGGGTCTCACATATCAGATATCCTGAATGTCAGACATTTACATTACAGTTCTTAACAGTAGCAAAATTACAGTTATGAAGTAGCAATGAAAATAACTTTATGGTTGGGGGGTCACCACAACGTGAGCAACTGTATTAAAAGGTTGCAGCATTATGAAGATTGAGAACCACTGGTGTAGGATATCTCAGTAAACCTAAATTTTGGTCTCGTTCTTCTACACAGTGCTAGTTGATCCTGGATAAATTTTAACCTCTCTGGGCATCAGTTCCTTGCCTGTAGAAAGGAAAAAAATCCCTTCTATGTAGGATGCCAAGAAACTGTGATGCTGCATAAATTCTGAACAGTCATGAGGAATTAGCGTGGCTTGCATCTTTTCACCGCTGCAGTCATCTTCGGCAATAAATCAGTTAGTGTTACACATGTCTCAAAAGACCAAAAATAATGAGAGGGGCAGCCATGCCTTATTCATCTCGGTGTCAGCCCGTCTCACTTAGAGGACAGTGGCGAGGCGTTCCGCAGGGTGGCGAGCTTCCCACCCTCACTGCTGGCCTGCTCGGGAGGATCCTGAGCGCAGAATGGCTTGGACCAGACACCAGTCCTGACAGCCTAAGCCTGTTTATTAAGTCAACCAAATACACAGCAAAGGAAGATAAAATAGGTCAAATCAAGTGTTCCAGGCGCATAATACAAGGCTACAATGGGCAGAGCACTAACCCCAAGAGACAGAGGCTGGAAAGGGTCAGAAAGAAATCATTTGCGGCTTTGTAGGTCACATGGTGTTCTTTCTTTCTGTTGCTGCGATAAAGCATTCCGACCAAAGGCAACCTGGGGAGGAAGGGTTTGTTTGCCTTATACATCCAGGTCTCAGTCCATCATTGAGAGAAGCCAGGGCAGGCGCTTGAAGCAGAAACCATGGAGGAACACTGCGTACCAGCTCAGTGTCTAATTCACTTAGGGAGCTTCCTCATATAGCCCAGGCTCACCTGCCTAGGGATGGCACCCCCACAGTGGGCTGGGCCCTCCTATATCACCGAACAATCAAGAACACCCCCCACCACCACCACCACTAAACGTGCCTACAGGTCAATCTGATCCAGGCCGTTCCTTGATTGAGGTTGATTCTTCCCAGGTGACTCTAAGTTGTGTAAAGTTGATGATAAAATTACCCAGCATGCATGGTGTCCTTAACACTCTCCCCTTGTGGTCATTTCCTCACAGAGGCAGCCATGCAGAGAATGTAAGGGAATGAGCACGACTGTGTTCCAGGAAATCGTATTTAAAGCGCGGGCGTAAGGCTGCATCAGGCCCCCGGGCTGTGGTCTGCCAGTCCCTGAGACAAAGGCTTGTCTCACTGCCAAAGAGGATTCACAACAAAGCCGAAAATACAGCCAGGTGGGGACACAGAACAGGAAGGTTGCAATCACTGAGCACAAGAGAAGTTCTCCACCAAGTTCCAGCACTAAAGCAAACAAGAGCACACGTGGAGGGAAGTGTCCTGAGAAATACATGTTAGGCTGGATCAAAGCTAATTATATTCGAGGCGCTCCAGGGTTGGGTTGGGGAGATGGCTTGGTGGGTAAAGCATCGGCTGCACAGGCCTGAGGACCCGAGTTCAGATCCCAGCCCGCACATAAAAGCAGAGTATGGGAGCCCGCGTCTGTAAACCCAGCTCTGGGTTGGCGTGGGTGGTGAGGTGGGGCACAAGACCAGAGCATCCTGGTGGTTCACTGGCCAGCCAGTCTAGCCC